CTTTAATGCCACTTGAAATATATTTTAAGACAAAATTCATAACAAATAATACGAAATAAAATCAAAAGGAAAAAATTCAGATGAGATGAGATGCATCAGGACAAAAAAAACCAGCAACAATTTTACCCAAATGTTTACTTCAACACAAAACAACTAGCTCTGAGAGACACGGTCAATTATTTTTAAAAACTAAATAAATGTTACCAAATATTTTAACATTTGAGATGAATTACAATCATCCTGTTTAGCTATAATATGTTTTTTAAGACTTATGAAAGATTGATTTAAGACATTTTAAGGCTAAGGCCTTATTTAAGGCCTTATTTAAGGCCTTATTTAAGGCCTTATTTAAGGCCCTATTTTTGGATTGATGAATTCAATGCCTTTTGAGACTTTTTAAGGATCTGAAAAACAAGGTTAATTTAAATGTATGTTCTATAAATATTAACTGAGACTGCCTCAGATTTTTAAATTTGCCCCTGCTGCTCAGTGTTTACATTAAGTACCTGATGGGGTTCATGTCAGGTCTGCTGGGTTTAGCCACGGCCTTCACAAACTTCTCAACCATCTGGATGCTGGAAGCAAAAGACAACGTGCCATTTTGTTAAACTTTGGCAAGTAATAACAGATTTTCTTTTGATTTTCGGACAATCCATTACTGCTGTAGTGTACAGGTGTGGAAAACAAAATACGACTTGAAAGGACAAGTAAAAATCTGATGTTTAACTCTGGAGTCTTGACACTACGAAAGAGGATTAGACAAAAAAAAGAATTCTGACTTTAATCTCATAATTCTGAGTGCAGRATACTCAGAGGGGTTTCCCAGGAGCTTGGCACGGTGTGTCTCTGGGGCTATGAGAGGTGTGGCTTAACTGTACAAATTTTCTCTTAAATAAGCTTTAAGGGAGAAAACGTAACTTACGTTAAAGAAAAATATCTCAAAATTTTATCAACCTTAAATTCTCTGGTTAATGCAGTTTAAATCTTACCGCTGGTTGAAGTGCTGCTCTCTGACGTCGGTGCCGTTAAGTACGAGTGCATCCATAACGTGAACAGCGTTGATTCTGCGCTGAGCTTTACCCTGAAAACAAAAAACAGACTTAAAGCCAAACAGGTAAACAAAATGTACAATGATCATTTCTGCTGTGGTGGAAAACATCAAAGCAACTTTAAYAAACTTAATCTATTTCTGATTACCTGTTCTGTTCGACTTTTTATCTGTTTTATTTTCTTTAGTTAAGACAGCTTGTTTAAAAAGCTTTATTAATTAATTTGACTGCAAAGATTTATTTGGTAACTACACAGAAGAGTTGAAACAATCAGTTCTTCCTCTCACCTCGCCCTTCAGCTCTTGAACAATCTCCACACTGAGAAGTGTGTCTCTTGGCAGCTCTAATTTGAAATTTTCTATTTTCATCCAGCGAACAGGCATCTTCCCATCCCACGTGTAAATCTGAGACTTCTGCAGAATAAAACAGGTTTAAAAAAACAGCTTTACTCATGTGTTTGTGCTGATTATGTTTACAATCARGAGCAAAACTGAGGTTGAAAAGCAGCCGTCTCTTCAAACGTACCCCCATGGCGAGAAGGAAGATCTGCTCCCCACCTCCCACGATGCACCTGTAGTCAAAGATCTGTCGCAGCTTGCTGAGCGTGTTGGAGTCGAGTGGAGTGAGTTTACTTTGGAACAAATCCACGTCTGAATTCTGAGGAACAACAAATACAGAGTTAGGAAGAAAGACCAGATACTAAGACACAATATTTATCATTTTTTTGGGTGTGGGTGTGGGGGAATATGTATTTTCCAGGCATTTAGTTCAGTTCTATACTACAATCAAATAACTATGTTACACTTAGTTGTTACAGTTGTTAGTTCAACCTCGACCCATCCTTTCTTGACATGGTTCCTATAGTTTAAGGCAAGTTAAATTTAAGACCTTTTAAGACTTTTTAATGCCAAGTCAAATTAAATAAGACCTTTTAAGACTTTTTAATGCCAAGTGAAATAAAATTTAAGACTTCTTAATGCTAAGTGAAATAAAATTTAAGACTTTTTAATGCCAAGTTAAATTAAATTTAAGACCATTTAAGACTTTTTAATGCCAAGTGAAATAAAATTTAAGACCATTTAAGACTTTTTAATGCCAAGTGAAATAAAATTTAAGACCTTTTAAGACTTTTTAATGCCAAGTGAAATTAAATAAGACCTTTTAAGACTTTTTAATGCCAAGTGAAATTAAATTTAAGACCATTTAAGACTTTTTAATGCCAAGTGAAATAAAATTTAAGACCTTTTAAGACTTTTTAATGCCAAGTGAAATTAAATTTAAGACCATTTAAGACTTTTTAATGCCAAGTGAAATTAAATTTAAGACCATTTAAGAGTTTTTAATGCCAAG